AGGGGTGCGCAGTGACAGCCTTTTATGTGTGCTTGCGAGCACGTGACTTAGTGCCTTGTGAGGACACATGCAGCTCCCAGCAGCTCGCAAGCTGAGGCCTCTGGCCCTTGCAGGTGCTGTTTGTCCATGTAAAGGGTTCGCGGGCGAATCCTTACATCTAATTCTTTGTAATGTAATAATCATTAATTATCATAAAGACAAGATTATTAGGATATGTCTAATTATTTACTGTTAAAGATATCTTGATTATTAAATTATAATTAAAAAAAAGATTTTAAAATAGCTGATTGTACATATTATTTATAATCTAATATAATGTTTCTTGTATGAGTATCTGTAATACTATTGCAGAATTGAGCATGGTTATTAATATGTAGAATGCTGGATTCTTGATAGCATAAAATAAAAAATTCAAGAATATTAATATTTGCACAAGCTACTAAAGAAAATTATCTTGATTATATTTGAGAACAAGCAGATCTAAATTTGTTTAAGAATGCTTTGAAAACTGTTGCTAAGATATCAAGACTATTACTAAAATTTATTACATTTGAAAAATTAAAATTCATGATCTACTATTATATTAATTAAAGTATTACTCTGTCTGTCACTAGTTTTTATATAATCTTTGCTAATTAAATGCTTCTTTAGATTATTTGTACCATTTCAAGAAAAGCTTGAATAACTGAGAAAGATTTAATCATACTTGCAAATTATTTCTGAAGTACTCTTAGAATGTTCTTCCATCTGATTAGATTTTGATTAAAAATTAAAATAATATTGCTTTATCTTTCAGTTAGAATCACTATACTTCTTATTCTTAATCAACTAAGCAGCTTCAGTAGTCAACTATTAAGTAACAAACAACTTATAATATAACTTCTTCCATAATACAAATTTTTTTATTATGTTAAACTATAATCAATTCTGAAGAAATCTCTGTAGATTTTGCTTGTTTGCTAACTTTGACTATTAATTAAATTTTTTTTTTCATAATTAAATTGATTTTTCTCTGAGTTCTGCCTTAGTTAAAAAAGTAACAAAATTTGATAATAGTTCAAGTAAAATTTGATAATTCTCAGCTAGTTAGACTCATTCTACTCTGTATAGTAATTAACTACAAAAAATTATCATTATCTACAAAATAGAACATTCTTTTTCAGGAAAATAAAACATTTTATCAATTTAATGATACCCTATTCTAAAATTAATATAAAAAAAAAAAAAACTAAAAATCTAACTTTCTTCTCTAGATATTAATAATTCAATTATCATTCATCTTATTGTTCTTCTTATTATTCTTGTTAAAGAATATTATAATCTTGAAATCATCTTTCTTTATCTTCTCTGAAACAGATGAACTGTTATTATCTTTAATTAAGTTCTGTAATTAGCTCAGAAATTCTCTTATTTTCTTCTCAATTCTCTCTTTTAATACACTAACTGCAGCAAGATAATCATAATTATAGATTATAATCTTGATCTCAAGCTTGGTTATTATTTAATAAAACTGGGTCTCTCTATATACAGTAATAGAATGCTGTATCTGGCTTGTTTTAATCTAAATATATCAGAATTATTACCAAATTTTATTACTTTTAAATTTTATTTTCTTTTTCTGCTAAGCTTTATTCTTGATCTCTGTAATCTCTTCTTGATAATACTTCTTCTTCTTCTCTCTTTTCTTTTGCTGAGAGATTATAAGCTAGTGCTTATGATAATTTTTTGACTTACTCTTAACAAATTACTTGACTATTAACTCTTCAATAGCTTTATCTTTAATTATCTTGTGATTCTTCTTGCTGCTATTCTGTCTGCAATAAATGTTAATATAATTCAATACAAATTACTGAAAGTACATACCACTTATATTTAACTTAAATTCTCTTTAGTATATTATAGTGTATCTTGTAATCTGTCTCTTCTGTCTTAAATATATCTTTTTAATAATCTTTTAAGACCTGGTGATGCTTCTGTACCATATAAGTCTTCTCTCTTATTGAATATTGCTTTGGCCTTATTTTTATAATTGTATAATTATAGAGTGTATTGATCAAGTACTTGTATAGCATGATTACTATATATATTATTTACATTCTATAGACATGTTGCTATAGACAAGCTTAATATATTGTTGCTATACTGGCTATAAAATAATAAGATTATAGAGTATATTGATCAAGTACTATAGAATAGTTACTATACACATTGTTTATATTTTATAGACATGTTACTATAGACAAGCTTAATGTGTTGTTGCTATACTAGCTACAGAATAATAATATCAGATTAGTTTCTCTTCTCTTCTCTTTTTTTTTCTCTTCTTCTTCTTTCTTTTCAGAGCTAATATTAATAATTTTCCCCTTTTTTTCTTTTTATTTACTGCTTTTTGATGTCTCTCTGTATGATAAACTGTGCTGCTATAATAGATTGTGTTAAGAAATGAGTGCTTGCAGAATACTACTCTGATGTATATTATTTACTGACAAGATGTTAGTTTTCTCTGTATATATTTATTTTATATGGCTGGAGAGAAGTGATATAAGACTGTATTAAAAGAATAGACTTTGAAGAAGAGTAATTAATATAAAGTTAATAAAGATGTTGGTCTGACTAACTTTAATCAGAAGAATCTCTGCTTCTGTTTCTCTGTTTAAAATTAAAAGACTGGCACTTGTATGTCAAAAAGTAATAATTTTTGATAATAATCTTTATACTAATTGATGAAAATAAATATTATTAAGAAAATCTGCTACTTTCAGAGCTCTACTGAGCTAATTTTTCTGATAATTCTGTTTTAGTAATTGATTTGGGAAATTACTTTATTCTGTTATTAAGAATATAAATATTACTGGTAATATACTACTATTAAGTTACTTTAGAAGACAGCTGAATCAATTTTATATACTTTATTTAAGTATAAGTTATTATTAATAATAGTATTAATAATTGTACTGAGTAATATAGACTTTGTTATAATAATAGTATACTGTAAGTATATTATAATTAATACTGATAGTATAAAACTTGTGCTTGACATTAGTATTAAGATTGAGTTAAAGTATTTTAATCTAATTAATATATCTGATTACTTTATCTCTGCTGCTATTATCTGCTGTCTGTATACTGTTTTTATCTTACTAACTATTGCTGCTGCTGCTTTATTACTACTGTTACTGCCCACTGCTATCTTTCTCTCTCTTTCTGGTACTGTTAGAATCTCTATCTATCAAATAGTAGGTATTAGAGCTCCTGTCTGGTTCATAAAGCTGATTCTAAAGAAGCAGAAGAAGAAGAAGAAGAAGAATAAGAAGAAATAGAAAAAAAAGAAGAAAAGAAAAAAGAAGAAAGAGAATAATAATAATAATAATAATAATAATAATAATAATGATAAACTTATTATTTAAACAGTTTTTGTTTGTTTGCTGACTTTAGTTATTATTTAGTTTTAATACTTTGTTTCTTTAGATAATTAAATTGATTTTTTTAAGAATTCTGTCTTTATCAAAAAAGTAATAAAATTTGGTAATAGTTCACACAAAATGTGATCAGTTTGGCTCTTCTCTATAAATTTGACACAATAGAACTGGAAATTCTGATTCTATTCTGGTCTTACTATAGATCTGGCTGGAATGAGAAATAAGACTCTATATTCTCTGCTAGAATGAAATATAAGATATAATTTTCTATTTAAGAATGGGACCAGGAAATAATTTATAAGACAGAGATAGAAATAGAATCTCAAGCTCTTGAATAAGATGGGATATGAGATTGAGATTTCATATTTGAGATCCTGGCTGTTTCTAAATTTGGAACTAGGACCAGCTTCAATAGGAAATAGAATCCTATTCTGATTTCAAATACTAGCTTAAATCTACTTAGCTATTTTATACCTCATATTCTGGGAAAATCTATGTGACCTACAGCTAGTTTTCTTAACAAAAAAATATGTAGCTTGTAGGCTTTAAAGTAAAAATAAACTTAATGATATTAATATTCTGCTTTTGAAAGAATCTTTATAGAATTTCTGTCCCTTTTTATATGCTATTTTCTACTATAGACTGGACAGATATTTCATGCACCAGCTGTCTGATGTTATAAAATATTTCTTCTGTGTTAAAAAAGATTTAATTATTGTGATATATTTAAGAATTGAACTTAAAGACTTTTTATAGCTGTAGAGAGAAGAAGAAGAAGAGTTTATAAAATTATTGTTACTTGTGTTTTTAATAATCTGCTAAACAGCAGCAACCATGATATTCAAGAAATAATAGTGAAGGTTCAATATGATCTTGATATTATAAAATCTAGAAATTAAAGCTTCTGCTTTGCTCTTTTATAAAATGTCTCTTTAAGCAACTATATTGAAAACCCAATGAAATTATCTTTAACTACTTGTTAATATATCTCAGATAGCCAGTTATTAGCTTGAATATACTGTCAATTGGGTCTTTTGAATCTGAAGACAATATTGTAGCTAGAGAAACAGATCTTTTTTAAAGAAATCTAAAAATTCAACAACTTGTTTGATCAGGTCTCTTTGCTTTTCTTAATAATTAGAAAGAGAGAAGAAGAGAGAAAGGGAAACTGAATTTATACTTAGCTTTTTAAGTTAAAAAAATAGAGATTATATTAGTTAGACTTATAAATAACTTGTTCAAGTGAATTAATTACCAGAAAAGATAAAATTGAATTTTCCTTCACTTTACAATTACTTTACTGCCCAATTTAAAAGGTAAGAAGAATAATTGTGTGGTGAAGAAGCTCATAATCTATTGAAGCATGGAAATCTTGGTTCAGTTCTGCTCTACAAAAGAGGCTAGCAAGATCTCATCTCTTACTGTGAGATGGAGCTTGGCAGTGGAAAAGAGTCCGACCAAGAGTGATCACATGAGGTCACGTGCGCGCTAAGCCCAAAAGGGGTTAGGGTGCGCGAACATCAATCAATCAGCTGGAACACATCATATGAAGTCTACGGGGTACTCGGGAGTGTTTTCATAAATACATTGATGCTGGAGCTGATACTTTGTACCCTCATCACCTGTTCCAATTGCTGGGTGTGATGGCACCATGAACAACCACCTTGTTTGTCGACCAAGTTAAGCAACCCATACTAATCAAAAATAATGGAACATCTAACTGGTGCGCAACTAATTGCTCGCTCCCTCCATGACATTGGGGTGACTGTCATCTTTGGGATTGTTGGTATCCCTGTCGTTGAGATTGCAGAGGAAGCCATCAACCTTGGCATACGTTTTATTGCATTTCGAAATGAGCAGGCATGTAGCTATGCCGCCAGTGCGTATGGTTATATAACCGGCCGCCCAGGCATTTGTCTTGTTGTGGGTGGGCCTGGGGTGTTGCATGCAATGGCTGGGGTAGGCAGATCGCCAAACGGACATTCTTTCCGATCGTATTGCTGATACAGCTGGACGAATTTAGATCGGAAATGCATCCGCAAATGCCTTCCCCCTAGTTGTCCTTGCAGGTTCTGCAGAAACCACCAGTGTTACGAAGGGAGGATTTCAAGAAATGGATGCAATCTCTCTTCTCACTCCGCACACAAAGTTCGCAGTCCGACCACCTTCGCTTGGTGCCGTCGGCGGCGCGGTTCGAGACGCGTATCGGATGTGTTGGTACGGACGTCCGGGCCCGGCCTTCGTTGACCTTCCTGCAGATCTAATCCAGGCGAAATCGACTCGACCCCCTTTTTCTGTGTCTACAGTTCAAAGATTACCACCTCCGCCTAAATCAAGCGCTAATCCTGAGATGGTTCTTAAAGTGGCAGAAATTCTCAAACTGGCACGGGCGCCATTGGTGGTAATTGGGAAAGGTTCTGCGTATGCTCGTGCAGAGGTGTCCATCTGCAAGTTCATTGAACAGACCCAAATACCTTTCTTACCCACCCCAATGGGCAAGGGGGTGGTGCCCGATACCCACCGTTTAAATACGTCTAGTGCAAGAAGTACAGCATTAAAGCACGCAGATGTTGTCCTCCTCCTCGGAGCTCGTTTGAACTGGATCCTCCACTTTGGAGAGGAGCCTCGCTGGTCGTCATCAGCGAGAATTATCCAAGTGGATATCCACGCCGAAGAGGTTGGTCGCAATGCCGGGGATGCAGAATTAGGGCTAGTGGGTGATGTCGACCTTGTTGTCGAACAACTTTTGGCAGCTCTCGCGAATTGGCAGTATCGGTCGCCATCCGCTAGCCCCTCCCAATCATACAAGTCGCTTCTTAAAGTTTCTTCTATAAAAAACGAAAATAATTCCCGAAGGCAAGCACTCCAACGAACGCCTGCAAATGGGTTTTTGACGTTTCAGCGTGCGTTCCATATCATTAGAACAGTATTCAATTCGCTATCCTCAGCTGAGGAAGGAGATATTGTATACGTTTCCGAAGGCGCAAACACTATGGATATTTCTCGCTCTCTCTTTCAACTGGAGCATCCACGACAGAGACTTGATGCAGGAACATATGCAACCATGGGGGTTGGCCTAGGGTACATTGTCGCAGCTCACGCTGCGTATAACCTATCTTCGACTGGTGAAAATCTCCAAAAGCAGAAAAAAATTGTAGCATTTGAAGGCGACAGTGCCTTTGGGTTTAGCGCCATGGAAATTGAAACACTTGCTCGGCAACAGATTCCTGCATTGATCTTTGTTATGAACAATTCAGGCATATATCATGGGGATACCAAGACAGAAGAAGAATGGCGGAAGTTGCAAAAGGAGACTTTCACGAACCAAATAAGATGCAGCGGCATAAGCAATGGACCTTCCTTTCAAACCAAGAAGGGACTTCGATCTACAAGCCTCCTTTACAATACCCGCTATGAATACTTAGCTGCTATGTGTGGGGGGAAGGGATTTTTTGCCAGGACTGAGGAAGAATTGGAAAAGGCCACACGGGAAGGTTTCTTGGAGAATGAGAAAGTTGTCATTGTAAATGTTATTGTGGATCCTGGAATTGGCCAGTCCATTCAATTTGGTTGGCAGACATCAAATGATAAAGGTAGTCAAGGGATGAAGTTGTAACAAATAGTGGACAAGAGTATAATTGGATACCTAAATGTGAGATTCAGTAAGCTACAAGGAGCATGTTTTGCACAGTGGATAAAATTTCTAACAATGTAGATTGACCATATCTTTGCAAAGGACTTATCCTGTACTCTCAGGCTGAGTTGGGATGGTAATGGGAAGCAGACTTAACTACAGAGCATCAGTGACTGTTATTATGGGTTCCAAACTTTGCAAGACCATTTTTTGGTTGGGGTGTACGGAGTACGGTATGGAGTAGTTAGTTACAGAGTAAACTTTGACATGATGTAAAAGGGAAGGTTGGAACTTTTTTGGATGTCACATGACAAGCTGTGGGCATTCCAAGAAACCGAAGATTTTTCATCATATCAATTATTTCATTTCTGGCTTGAGGTTGTCAATTTTCCTCCTAAATTGATTGGGTTGCTAGCAAATACTTGTTCTCCAACAAATATCAAAATGTTTGAAAGTCCTTCCCCCCTTTTGTTTTGTACTCGATCTACTGACGAGATTATCTCTAGGTTTTCTCTCAGACATGCTCTTTGTCGGGCTGTCTGTGCTCCTTACTCACAGCTTGCTAAATCTCGAACTATTACCACAATTCCTCACCGTTCAACAAAATTGGATCGGATAATTACTGCAGCCACTTTCCAGCAGAGATGGCTTAGTGGCAAAGTTCAATCCGAGCAGCTTAACACTCCCCTTCCCTACACACAAGAGCAGCAAAAAAAGGAGAATGGAACACCTTCCGAAGAATCTAGTATTGCCATTTCTAGTGGGTCCCTTTCTGGTGACTCGAGCCGCGTGAATGCTACTCAGACAACTTCCGATGAACTTGACTCCGCGAAGGCTACTGAAACACCTGTTGACTCTCGTTCTGTGGGCCATCCACGCTTCTCAATAAGGCGACCGAAACCCGACGGATATATCGCGCCGAAATCTACAATTTACGTTGGCAACCTGTTCTTCGATGTAACCGCTGGAGACTTAAAAAATGAATTTTCCAAATGTGGCCCAGTTGAAGGAGTACGGTTGCTATACGATTATCGTGGGGTCAGCAAAGGGTAAGATTCCTCGCGGTCTAGTTATATTGTTTCAAGTCCATCTCCGTTCTATAATCTCTATTACCCTTGAAAGGACTAGGGCTAACGAGATAATTTAACTATAGATTCGGCTACGTGAAGTTTCACGATGTGGAAACTGCTGAAAAGGCAGTCGCTCTTATGCATGGCCAGCTTTTTGAGGGCCGCCACCTCGCGGTCAATTTCGCCAGGGTGGAGCTTGACAAACCTATGAACCATGACCCCACAAAGCCTCCTACGAGAACGTTATACATTGGAAATATACCATTCGAGATGACTGATCGCGATCTTAATGAACTTTTCAAGGATGTTGATAATATCATCGACGTCCGCGTTGCTGTTGACCGCCGCACTGGTCGAGCAAGAGGTTTTGTTCATGCCGACTTTACTGATATTGAAAGTGCACGGAAAGCTTTCACCCTCCTCAGCACCAAAACCCCTTACGGCCGACCCCTTCGAATAGACTACAGTCATAGCAACATCAAGATACAGCCTGCCGGGCCTCCCAAACGGGATGATCCTGGAGCTACATTTGGCAGTGATTAGCCCATGCGCTCGAAGTGATAGCATCTAGACAAGTTTATCAATGTCAGGTGTAAGTTCGGAACATGAACCTCTTGTATGGCTGCAGCAGCATTTTCTCCCCTTTCAATGGAGATATGAGCATTTGCAACGTGGCACAGATCAATGAACTTACACTATGGCGCATGTTCTATATGTTCTACACCTGATGACTTCCTTGCTTCGTTGTAACATTTATATATGGCGCAGCTTCCTCTGATATTTTGGCATCTCCCTTTCATTAGTGTTGAGTAATTGACATATATATGTATAATAAAATGGTTCTCGCTTGAAATAACTATACGCCTACAGCGTAGGTATGTTTAGCCATCCTCCAAAAGAGTTTTACAGTGAAAGAGCCACTAGTAGACTAACTGTTGAGACTGGGACAGGTCAGGATTTCCCAACTGCCCTGAACTCAAGGTTAGGGTAGTGTCCGTTTCCAGGATTTCCCAACCTGGCCCCAGATTCCTGTCCCAATTCCTGTTTCATGGACAGGATCAGATTGAAGTCCAGCCAACAGAATAGAATCAGATTGTTTAACAACATATTAAAACAAATCTATAAGAACTAGAATTAGAATAAGATTAGAATCACAATCAAAACCTAAACTACGGAGTACATATTATTTTTTTGGATAATACCTGTGATACTTTTTCTCAAATATCTTGTACTATAATATTATAAAATATAATACTCTTCTCTGCATCTTGTCTTGCTTGTAACACTTTCTTATATTATATTATCTTTCTTTTAAGTTTCTCTAAAATGATTTATGACTCTATCTTGTTAGGCTTCAGGCTCAGTTATCCAATTGTTCTGGATCTTCTCTTGTTATGCTACAAGATCTATAATACTTTTCAAAATTTTCATCATAAACCTGAAGCAAAATTCTTAGATGTTGGCTTTTCTTGAATAGTTCGGCAAGAATTGCTTAATTATTCCAGAGCAGAAGAACCTCAAATATTGAAGGTATAAAGTAGATGTATATGTGAAGTAACTACTCCGTATACAGGGTACATTACCTTCCAGAATCAGTTACATGTTATCCCAGGGACTTGTTGTTTGATTTTTACAAAGTAGTTTCTTGTTTTTTTCTTGGTTCTAGGTCCTCCCTGTTGCTAGTAAATCTGTAATAGTGTTTGTTGTCTTTATGGATAAACAAACTCAAGGGTGCCATGATTCAGGCCTCGAACAACATCTCATACTAGTCTTTGTCAGGTATAATCCGGCCTTCCTTCCATAAGGCACTTTGCGTTTCAGCTCACAGATTGGATTGTTAATATGCTGTCGCCGAAGTTCCCCGGGATCTCCTATGATACCGAAATGGATTGGCAACGACCGTACGCGTGTTGTCGATGGGAGGAATACGGCCGGCTGACCCACGCTGTTAAACCTTTTTTTTGAACATTTACGATTTTGGTGATTTTCCCGAGCAGGATCCCTCAGAAAGACTACAAAGTTCTATCATGAGAATAGACGATCAGCAGAAGAACAAAGCATGCGAGGAAGTGGAGACGAACCCAAGATAATCCTCCTTGATGCTCCCAATCGCAAACATATTTCGGACGTCATTTCGAAGTCCGATTAATTTGATCCTCAAGTTAGTACCCTTCTCAATTACCTGGTCCGCATTATCTGTATACTGCGGGGGAGTAGCATCTGGATCCCACTTGATCTCCGGAGGGATTAACTTCGGCTTGTTAGTATATGATTAAGCGCGACTTCAGCAAGAAGCCTAGACATACATGCTTGGATACAAAGACAGTGAGAGGGCCAACTTCTGCAAAAATACCTTGATTCTTGACAGATGTGACAATAGCATCCACCTGGAGTGTGTCGAAGTCAGCAAATACAACAAAAGTGATGAACAGTAAAGAGTAGACATACTGTTTCTCCCTTAAAGGGTTTCCACACAATTGCTCGATACATAATAGTGTATTCTGCCATACCACTACCAGGGATGATCCGTCCCTCAGATATGTCGTATGTATCCATCACACAAACTATATAATAATCTCCAGTGCAGATGCCTTCCACATCATCCAACAGCTTCTGAGTTAAATATTCTTTAACATGAGAGCCAAAGAATGATGGATGGAGGGTGAGAACATGCTCCAAAAAGTGGATGAAAAACATGATAAGCCAGGTTTAGGGGGGTGAAGCAGCACAGGTTTGTGGGTCACAATTTGGGAAATAGCTATTAATGTAATCAGCTTTGCCCCGAGACCTCTAAGAGAGGAATCTGATGGTTCCTATCAGCCTTACTTGCACTCTGCAGAGTGACTGTAGACTCCGAAGGCCGAAAGGGTGTTTGGCTTGTAAAGAGAGGGAAGAAATCATTCACAGCTTGTCAATCTGAGCAAGGATTGTGAAAAGACATTTGTACTGACAAGGGTACCAAAGCTGAAAATACTTTCAATGGGGGGTTTAACATATAGGTATAGTGTTATCATCACCATAAAGCGAGGAATAGAAGTAATAATTGTATCAATGAGGAAGTTCCTGGTGGCTCTATCCCAGCAAGGATCACTCAAGATTCATATCACATGATCAGTTTCACATGACTAGCTAGTTAGGTGATTTGATCTTCCAGCACCTTGTTTGTTACTAATATAACTAGCGTTCCAGGCAGGTAATTGTCATGTTAGTTTGGGTCTTTAGTTAGTTACCTCGGACGTTGCAGGGCTGCCATCGTCACCGGAAATACCTAGACCCGATTATCTGGTTTCGAGGGATTACCACAGGTATTGTTAGCATCTCAACAACATTGACACTCACCCATTTCCATCACCCTAGGCACAATCATCATATTTATACTCCATATTGAGAGAAAGCCCAAATCTCAGTCATAATGCTCTTGAACCTTGAAAAGCAATTCAGATTTGTAAGTATTTTTGAAATCTCAAATGTAAATTATGGCCAATTGACTAATAGAAACTCGAACAGTATGGTTCATATCACCATAACCCTGTAAGTGTAGGCCTTTTTTGCTTCTTTTTTTTTTTTTTTTTTTTTTTTTTTTTTTTTTTTTGGCAGAGGTATTCCTGTTAACTGAGTAATCAGGTCAATGTTGTAATTCACATTATTTGTGTTCCCGTCATAATGCTTTGTATGCTGCTCCTGGTAAGTCAATCTCTGGACATTCCTTCTAGATCACAGCTGACACATGGTATTTCAATCAGGGGACTCTTGCACAGCCTTTGTTCCCTGTCCCAGAAGCTGTCGCTATTGAGAGTTTCCCCCCAAACCTTGCCACTGTTGCCGGTGTTGTTTATACCATTTTATACATCCTGATGGAGCCGGTAGCCGGTGCTCTTCTTGCGCCGCTCCTCCTGGCAGGTACTGCATTCGTAAACCATCTCAGCAGCACCCACGGGAATACAGCGATTTATTGGTCTCTCGCCGTTCAGGCCGTAGCATGGATTGCCCAATTCGTAGGGCACGGAGTCTTTGAAAGGCGCGCCCCAGCTTTACTTGACAATCTCGTTCAAGCGTTCTTCCTTGCTCCATTCTTTGTCTGGCTTGAGGTCCTCTTTTCTCTTGGGTATCGCCCGGCATTGAAAGCCCGTATTGATAAAGCAGTGGAAGTGGAAGTGGCTAGGTTTAACATATCGAAAAAAGGACTTTCTCCCAAGGCGCCGCAAAAATAACTATTTGTATCGGCAACTACTCACATTTGACACCTCCCAAGCGTTCGGGTTAGCATGCGACGTGGAACGCTTGCTGAGTATTATGTTCCGCATACTCCGTATTGAGTATTCAAATTAAACCATGCCGCCTTTGCGTCATTTTACATTCTTTGACAGCTATCGGTTCCATGACTCTGAATCCTAGCAAATGTTGTTTGGAGTTCCGGAGTTCTGACCAAAACATAGTGGTTACTGCTCTCCCTCAAAAAGGATTCTTCGCTCGATCATCACGCCATTACTTGGTTATAACGAAATGCACCCAAATCCTCTCGTAGTTTCTCCCCATCAAAGCCCTCTCAAATATGCGGCTCTAACCAAGTTCCTTGCATAGCCGAGGAAAGATGCAGATCCAACCCAAAGGGTTGGTGGTTACTTCAAGGTAACATGGCGGGTTCACTTATGTATTAATTACCAACTGCTACTATAATTTCCATTGTAAAATTTACCTTCACAACCAAAATAAACTCGCTAGGTTGATCAAGCCATCCTCCAGACACATCAAAAATTCCAACCTCTCCCGTCATATTTATCAAGCAGAGCTAATGTTAAATGCAAAACAGTTTCTGCTTTAATCACAAACGGTCATATGTTCTGTCAGGAGGATAAACTTGACTCCTGATGACTACTCTGTACTGTAAACCTGTCTGTATGGAGTATAATGTATATATATGTCTGGTACGGAGTACATACATACACAGGTGAACGATAATTATTGGTGGACTCTGTAATATTGTTACCCGGAATGAAAAATACGCTGTAGAGGTGAAGGCGCCTCGTCTCGGCAACGACAATTTTCCACTAGCTTATTTTCAGTTACTCCCAGACGACACACCTTATGTCTTCGAACATCCACAATCCTTTCTCTTCAGCCATTCTGGCCCCAGTCACCTTCTCCCTACTCAACACCTCATCTCTACTCCTATCTGATACTCGTCACAATGTTTAGAAACGCCTTACGGCAGTCCAGCCGCACAGTTACGGCAGTTTCTGTCACAGGAAGGATCGCAACGGTAAGAAATTCTCATCACAAAGTTCCACACCTTCATCAGCACATCTCCAATTGCTTCAAATTGTATCAAAAGTGGCATTTATGGAGGTCAATTGAAGCATTGTGGAGTCATTGAACGTGTTTTCTTTTTCTTTTTCTAATATATGTGTACTTATCTTGATAAAGCTGACAATTCTTGATTTCGAATGCTACAGGTCCGAGCCGGTACCCCGAGCCCTTTGGCATCTGTGTCAAAGCAAGTTCGTTCATATGCTGCCGAGGCCAAGGCTGCGCCTACTGAGGTATCCTCTATCCTCGAACAAAGGATTCGTGGAGTCCAGGAGGAGGCCGGCCTTGCCGAGACTGGCAGAGTTCTATCCGTTGGGTATGAGACCATTTTGCCGCCCAATATCGGCCTTGATATCTCTTCCAGTTCATGTTCTAGACTGGACTCAGCTTAGGATTGGAAATGTACTAATTGTCTAAAACCAGTGACGGTATCGCTCGTGTTCATGGAATGACTAATGTTCAGGCTGAAGAACTTGTCGAGTAAGTTTAGCTATCATTCCTGAAAGCAAATTCCTCACCATATTTTCCTTTTCCCTCTTTTAGATTCGCATCCGGCGTGAAAGGAATGTGCATGAACTTGGAAGCTGGCCAAGTTGGTGTTGTTCTTTTCGGCTCCGATCGTCTTGTCAAAGAAGGCGAAACTGTCAAACGAACCGGCGAGATTGTAAGTGGAACTGGAGCCTTAAGATACGTTAAGTATCTAATAACTTGTTAGGTTGACGTCCCTGTTGGTCCTGAAATGCTGGGGCGTGTTGTTGATGCTCTTGGTAATCCAATTGATGGAAAAGGTCCCATCAAGACTACTGAAAAACGTCGGGCTCAGCTCAAAGCGCCTGGCATTTTGCCTCGCAAATCAGTTAACCAACCTGTTCAGACCGGCCTTAAGAGTGTGGACTCCATGGTTCCCATTGGCCGTGGTCAGCGTGAGTTGATCATCGGTGATCGTCAAACCGGAAAGACTGCTGTTGCCTTGGATGCTATGTTGAACCAGAAACGATGGAACAACAGTTCTGATGAAACCAAGAAGTTATACTGTGTCTATGTTGCTGTCGGTCAGAAACGCTCGACCGTTGCTCAGCTTGTTAAGACATTGGAAGAGAATGATGCCATGAAATACTGTATTGTTGTTGCTGCTACCGCTTCTGAGGCCGCTCCTCTTCAGTACATTGCGCCCTTCACTGGTTGTGCTATGGGTGAATGGTTCCGTGATAACGGAAGGCATGCTTTGATCATCTATGACGACTTGTCGAAACAAGCTGTTGCATACCGTCAAATGTCTCTCTTGCTCCGTCGACCCCCAGGTCGTGAAGCCTACCCTGGAGAGTAAGCAGTTCATTGATCCAGACTGCTGTGTGGCACTTCTGACATCCATTTAGTGTTTTCTATCTTCACTCTCGGCTATTGGAGCGCGCTGCCAAACTCAACGACAAACATGGCGGCGGATCCCTCACTGCGCTCCCTGTTATCGAGACCCAGGGTGGTGACGTCTCAGCGTACATCCCAACTAACGTCATTTCTATCACCGATGGCCAGATTTTCTTGGAGTCAGAATTGTTCTACAAGGGTATCCGACCTGCTATTAACGTTGGGTTGTCTGTTTCCCGTGTCGGCTCGTCCGCCCAACTTAAGGCTATGAAACAAGTCGCAGGCTCTCTGAAATTGTTCTTGGCCCAGTATCGTGAAGTCGCCGCTTTCGCTCAATTCGGTTCTGACTTAGATGCTTCAACTAAGCAGACTCTCAATCGTGGTGAGCGCTTGACAGAATTGCTTAAACAGAAACAATATTCTCCAATGGCGGTGAACGAGATGGTCCCCTTGATCTACGCTGGCGTCAATGGCCATCTTGATTCTATCCCTGTCAAGAAGATTTTGCAATGGGAGGCTGATTTCTTAGCCCACTTAAAGGCCAACGAGGCGGAGGTGCTGGAGAAGATCGACAAGGAAGGGCAGCTCAGCAAGGACTTGGAGGCCCAACTCAAGGATATCATCGTCGCATTCAACAAGAGCTTCTCGTAAAATGATGTCAACCCGTTTTTCTCGAGTGTATAGAAGGGTAGCTCATGTACAATCCTCAAACAAACTGTTTCTTTAGCTGACGCCTCGTACTTGACCAAATTTCTATCCTTGAATGGTTTTCTTTTTGTATTGTAGCAACCATAAACTAAATTCCAATGTCCACTTTCTGTTGATAATTTTATTTGGCTCAAAAGGAAACCATTGTGCGCCGAATGTGAGTATCCTTATTCTAAGGTAGTAAAATGAAATAAACTAAATTCCAATGTACTGCAACTTATCAGGCCCAATATTGGGGCCGCTGGCTTGACGTAGACAAATATGGTGTCACAGCACTGGACGTAGGGCCACCAACACAACTACTTCAGAAAAGTTTGTTTTGCAATCATACAATTGCAATATAAAGCGACATGACCTCTTATTCCCACAAAAGCTGCAGACGGATTGCAATCCATTGACAGTATTCGATGACCTTTAAAACCATGGCAACCGATCCTGAATCAATTCCTGCTTCATGCAAGGTTGTCTTGTCTGGAAATGTTGCAAAAGGTTTACTCGAGGAGGTGCTGGAGGGCCGCAAAGCCCTTGAGAAGCCACCCCACCTCGTCGGCTTACTGGCAAATTCTGACCCGGCAGCGCGCATGTATGCAAATTGGACAGAAAAGACTTGTAAAGAAAAGTAAGCAACTATACCACCGTGTCTATAGGTTTCCTATACCTCCTTCAATTCTTTATATGGCAACCAAACAACCTTTACTGAATAAATTCTGCAGTGGATTCCGCTACTCTCTCCGTGAAGTGCATCGTGATGACATAGAGGAGACCATTCTCGCTGCCAACTTAGATCCTGACGTTGACGGGATTATTGTCTATTATCCAATTTTCAATAACAGACAAGATCAATACGTGCAGCAGCTTGTAGACATCTCGAAGGATGTTGAAGGGCTCAGTCACCGATACATTTTTAATATGTATCAAAACATACGATTTTTGGACCCTAAGCCGGGCCCTCAGCGGCAAAAGTCCCTCCTACCCTGCACCCCCCTCGCTGTGATTAAAATTCTTGAATATCTACAAATTTACAACACAATCCTACCATATGGAAACAGACTGTTTGGCCATACAATTTGCGTCGTGAATCGATCTGAAGTCGTGGGTCGCCCCCTTGCAGCTTTACTGGCCAATGACGGCGCGCGTGTCTACAGTGCGGATATCACTGGTATCCAGCAGTTTACTCGAGGGGAAGGCATAAAAAAACGGCGACATGAAGTTGTTGATATGGATGGATGGACGTTGGAAGACGCGGTGCCGCACTGTGATGTTGTTATAACCGGAGTACCGGGGGATTCATTCAAGTTTAATACCAGCCTACTGAGACCCGGAGCTGTCTGCATAAACTTCTCTAGCCAAAAGGTAGGAGGGAGTCAGGGACCCCTTGGTTTCCTAATATGCAGTCTGTTTTAAGACAGGAACCCAATTGCTTACTCTTTTTTATAGAATTTTAACCCAGATGTCAAGGATAAGGCATCCATATATGTACCTGCAATTGGGAAAGTAACAAATGTGGTTTTGCTGCGCAATCTTTTGGTACTTCTCCTTGTTCTTTCAAACCCCAAGCTCATCTAACATCTTTTGCAGCGCCTTGTGCAAAATCGAAGAGTTGATGATGTCCATCCAGCCGATGCGGTTGAGAAACCTGGCACACTTGAAGGTGTCAGCACGCCATCAGGGTGAGATGGTATGTTTTGAGTGGAGATTGTCCAGGTTGGCATATAAAGGGTGATTTTGCATGACATTCTTGTAATTGACTTATTATTCAAACGCGAGTGCCCCTTGTTATTGGCACTCAAACTTCTACAGGGATGGCGCTTGAATAATCATTCCCATTCCTCACCACTTCGGCTTCCAAGCTACACAGGCATTAGCACCTAGGTAATAATCCTTATCACAAAAGAGACCTCAGAGAACACAGCAATACATTGTTCAATTAGGTTGGGGAAGCAAAAGGCATGCAAGGACAAGAGCAGGAATTATGCTAAAAAGCATGACTTTGTGGATGTCATTTTTCATATTTTGCAGATAAAAACAAAAAAGAGCCCTAGAACCCCTAGCTATTGATTTGCTTCCTCGCTTTCTTGTTACATATTCAATTTGCTTCTAGGAGCTGACCATGGGATGCCAATCTCAGCTGCAAGCCACTGCCTGAATGCTTCACAATGAAATGTACCATCTCCAGAAAACCATTGTGTGAATGGCGCCACAGCTGTTTTCTCTTGCGGCATATTGCCTAAAGATGAGGTATGATGAATATGAAGATGATATAAGGGAGCATGCTTTTTGGTCGAAGAGCAAATGCGAAGCTGTGTAGATGAGCAGTGTTAGTAGCGTAGATTTGCCCAAGTCAAGAACCAGGGTGAGCCTTACTCTTTCAATTTCATCCCCCGATCCCTCAAAAATCTGACCACCTTCCACTCCCCAGATCCAGAGAGTCAGCGCAAGGTTCAGCACAAAGTACGCAATTACTGCCGGGAGGATCCATGGTTTTGTAGCCTCCCAGCCTTTGGTATAGTCGATATAAAAAGAAACAGCTGCGATGCTCACGGCACCATAGCCTAATAGTAGTCTTATGTTGGACTTCGAATTATTTTCAACAAAGGTGTATGGATTCGGCAGCGAGGTGAGATACGGCGCAATAGCATCATCGGTGGTGCTCTTCAATTCTAGGACAATTAAAATAAGCCAAATATCCTGAGGAGTGCTCCTGATTCTAGCGATAGTCAGGAGCGTTAGACCAACCATACCATTGAGGGAGTATATAGGGACCTTGGGCAGGCTGGTGGCCATTTGTATAAATCATATATCTGTCCAATATGGCCAGTTTAGGAGCCTTGGTAGGAAAGAAACAACAGTCTCGATAGCAGCAGAATAGTTCAGGCAAGGAGAGTGGGAAACCTATGCTGTTATCCAAGGTTTTCCTTTGGAGTGCAAACCTCCAGCTGGCCTTCTGATTTTCCCAAAACAGTTAGCTCTACACACAGTGGTGATCATTACAGTGCAGTTCGTCTCCCGTACAGCCAGCTACGAATGAAGCAAATCTCCACGCAAGCATATTACTCCTTCCTTTATGCAGCTGATATATTCTGTGACTTCATATATAAAGTACACGCTGGACTATCTCCTCATGTATGTGCTGGAAATGATGAACATCACACAGTACCTTCCAATCTGCTCTTTTTGCTTTCAGTTGCCTAGTAGTTATGGAGTACAGAGTACAGAGTATAGAGTACAGTCTGCCCATCTGCAACACAATATAATAATCTATCGAATGCCAAGTACTCTGTATAAGTTATTTCCATAGTTTGGGTGAGGACTGTGATGTTGTGCCTCTATACCTTCAAAGTATGGAGTACAGAGTACTCCGTATAACAGGGTAAAATTGCAATCCGCATAAAAATTACCGGATAATCTTTCCCTTCACTACTGCGTACGGAGTACTCCATAGCGTACAGAGTACTGTACTCCGTACCCTGTATTCCATTCTTCAAATGTCTTGGCAGAGGAATGTAATGGGCATACACTGTGGCTGTCCTCTGTACCTGCATCAGTTCATACTTATGCTACCAGGTGGTATGTTATTCCATTGATTACACAGAGCACTGGTCGCTTTGGCATTTGTGATTTTGCCATTGGGACTGCAACATTTCCTGGCCTGGATATTACTCGATTGCCAGTCGCAATGGTGTCTCAGAGCTCTGAGCAAATGATTCTCCGGGATCCAGCATTGTTGTGAGTAATGTCTTCTGCTTGCTGCGAACAGAACTAATGTTCATCTGTGGAGTTACTGGATCCTAATCCCTATTACTATTGTCATGGTATGTTCACTTCTTAACCCCCAGGTGTGTGGTGATTATCTCAGCTAATGGGATTGTTTAATTCCTCATGCGATTAGATATTAACTGGTATCCTTCGCCACTATGCCACCGTACTGATGGCAACTCCGCCAAAACCGGCAGCAAGCCTTGCAGAGTACCGTGAGCGTCTGGCGCTGCTCCGTGGGGTTAACCTCCGCAATAACGCTTCTGCTGTCCTTACACCTTCTTCCCTTAGCGCCCGAAAGGCCTACCTTATCTGCTCGTATCAAAGCGGCGTCTTCCTGAAAGACCCTGATGCGCGAGGCAAGGGACCCCCAAATCCTATGACAGATCCAGCCGGTATGGACGCGATGATGGGTATGATGAAAGGGAATATGGCTATGATGATACCGCAGACCCTTATTATGGGGTGGATCAATGCGTTTTTTTCGGGCTTCGTTATACGTATGTCTTCATGTCTTGAACGACATTCTTAGCCTTCTTTGGCAACAAACTCATATTCAACTGAGCACAGTGAAAATGCCGTTCCCATTGACTATTCGGTTCAAGTCGATGCTGCAATCGGGGGTCATGACTCGTGATCTCGATGTGAGATGGGTGTCTAGTCTTTCTTGGTACTTTCTTAACTTGTTCGGACTGCAACCTGTTTTTGGTTTCATCTTTGGGAGTGATCATGGTGAGTCCGACTTCCCGCTTCCACAGATGTACGGTTCTTGGTTTATGGGAGATATCATTGGAAGTTAACGTGTTTGTTCTTTCAGCCGCTGGACAGATGATGCACCAAATGGGGCCGAATAATCCTACCGCTGCGGTTAACCCGTTCGGTCCTGGGCAAGATCCAGATAAGATGTTCTTGGCCGAAGCAGAGAACTTAGAGGTCATGGATCACCATTGTATTCTTGATGGAATTGAGGACCGCCTCCTCCAAAGGGTATCGTCCACTTAGGTGCATACAAGAATACATAGTAGCAATATAGCAATTTCCAATTCCGTTTGTTCAGGGATAATATACACCATATAATAATAAAAGGTGGTGCGTTGCATGAGGTTTGCTATGATCAGCTTCTTACGATGTGGGGGTCAGTTTCCTTTCCGCTGAATTTCTAATTTCTGGCTGTGGATGCTCGATCACACCGTCCAAGACCCAAACCTCACCGTTGGAAACTTGGCCGGCAATTCTTTTGATCCCAATGTGGCCGGGATAAATCTAATTCAACAAAGTTAGTTCGAACCCAAACCAAACCGACCCCCCCCCCCCCCCCCCCCCGGCGGGGCGGGGGCGGGGCCCGGAGGGCCCTTATCAGTACAAATATTGGGCTAGCTGGTGAGATTTTATCGAATGGGACCTACGTAGGATTTTCCAGTTTCGTCCTTTCGCCAAATCAATTTTTGACCTGCCAAAGTTGACGCCTCCTTTTCTTCAGACCATGTTTTCGAAGGTATTATATGAGCTTCGACAAACGTCTTGAGATTATCGGCGGCTCTTTCCTCGCCATTCTTCCCCACGTAAGCTTCCCTTTCTCCGAAATTGACATAGTGCCTAGTGCTTTCCCAAGGTTTGTGTGATAGATTCTCTATGGCGATATTCGTCGGCGCCAGAACTATTGCATTCTTCGACTTGTTCTCAAGCTGATTGGAAAGATATTCAAATTCTCGCGTTAAGGAGGCGAAAATATTGACTTCCCTAGTTTTGCTAAGGATATCCGATATGAGAAGACTATCGTGGGCAAGATCCGGAAACCGGCTTTGACTAGGCCCTTGATTGGAGACGTGAGGTATATCCGCCAGGTCTCCCATAGTGATCGGGAATTGGTGCATGATTTTCTTGGACTGCTCGTCGTCGATATGGTTTTTCGGAATCAGTCGACTTGGTTCAAAAGATTCAGTTCGGAGGATCCGTCGGCTCGACACAGATATCACCATAAAGAGTTTGAATATCATATACACAAAGAACTTCATGGTTATAAAATGTAATTTGTTTAAAGAAGCTGGTGTGATGAGAACATAACTATGCAAAGCACAAATGGAGAGGTTATGACGCAATGAAAACACTTGAAGCCAAAAAATATGGTCTTTGTTCGAGTTGCAACTCTTGTACGAAGTAATGTGCCCTGTACAGAGTACTCTGTACTGTACTCCGGAGCTACACTGTATAAAGTACAGGGCACAATACAGAGTAGGTTCTCTCAAAAAGCATTAGAAATCTTGGCATGGTACTCCATATGTAGTATTACAATTCTAAGTCCAATGTATGGAGGTGTGTCTCAGAAGTCTTTACTCACACTAGTAATTATAGCTGTATCAAAAGTACAATACCCCCAACCAAATAACTACAGAACTACATGTACCTTCTGATTTTAAAATAATCACCAGCTTGAATCTCATCTTAATTATAATTTTCAATGTCTGAAAATAATAAGTTTTATTTAATTACTATTTATATTCAAGCTTTAGCTTTAGTCTCTTAAAAGATATCAGTTAATAAAGTCTCTACTGCTTTAGAAATTTCTGCTAGAACTCTTCATATAATTAAAAAATAAGCTAAAGACTGTAGCTATAAGTCTTAAAAAAATTAGTAAATTAATATTTTATTTGTTAAAGATGCAAAATAAGTTAGTATATTCTAAAGAAATAGATTTGTTACAAATGTAGATCTAGACCAACCAAGCATCAGACAACATCAGATGTTCAGGAGTATTCACATAACCCCAATACTAAATATATAAGAATCACACAATTTATATAGATTGTGGAAACCCCAGCATTCAGTCTTCAAATAAGAGAATCTCTATATTTTACATATGACTCTCTCTTATTAGTTGCAGGCATCATATCTACTTAGCTCTTTTGTATCTCTAATTCTGGGAAAATCTACATAATCTATAACTGATTCACCTAACATTCTAAACACTCTGACATACAATTGCCTAAGTCAGTACAATGCTATCAAGACTCACAAGATGAACCATAACAATACTTCATATTGCAGATCTGACAGAGGTAGATATCAATATAGAGAAGATGAATATTAATGAAGATACTGATAGTAGTGAAGCCATTATCAGTAAGACACCAGCAGACAATACAGATAACAGAGATACACCTCTTAATATATTAAATAAAATCTAAAGAAAGAAGATTTTTGAAGAAAAGAAGACATGTCTGCAAAAGAATCTAGCAGATATATATAAATAAAATAAGATATACAGACTGCAGAAGCAGATAAAATATAAACAGAGAATAACAAACAATAATTTTTTTTTAGAGTTTTTCTTACACACAAGACCAATAGAGGAGTTAGATGATTTTGACAATGTGAAGCTATCAAAAGCATCTTACTACAATAGCAAATTACTTAGCAAGTACAAATTGTGATTAGCTTTAATAAGACAGCAGTTTTGTCTGAGAAAATCATTACAAAAGACACCAGATATAGTTAGAATTGATTGGATATCCAGCTATTTTGTAACAAATCCCAGATGTATTGGCAGATATTGAGAATAGAGAGAGAATAACTATCTACATCATGAAATAAATTCAAGATGTGGTGTAAGAATGATGTTGAACTCAAGATAACTCATAGTCAAGACATAATACAGTATTATTATGATACCATTCAATAAGAGAATCAATTCATACTCTTGTTTTTTACATACATTGCTGAACTTGAACAGAATCTGGACAGTTTATCAGATAAATTCTTTTATATATTTTTTTTACAGATAAAGCTCAGACTAATTATGCAGGCTGAACTAAATAAACTGCAACACTAATCAAAAATAGTTGCAGAATTACAAGAACAAGCAACACTTATTGAGTTCATTCTAGAAAAGAAGAAGCAAAGTCAGTGGGACAAGAACTAAAATAAGAAGAAACAGAAAATCTCAATCTTTTAAGAGAAAGATATGTTTCAACAAGACAACAAAGAAGATTATTCATAAATAAAAAAGACACCAGTGAAACCACTTTCAAAAATATCAGAAGAGAAATATAAATAACAAATGAATGAAGAGCTATATCTAAGATGTGATTAATCAGACTATAGAGCAAAGTTTTGTACAAACAGCTTTAACAAGTTTCAGTGAACAGACAAAAAGAATAAGAATCAGACAAAGACTAGAGCTGCAAAGCTCATGCAAGATCCAGATCAAATATTAGAAAGACAGAGTGTTAACTTAATAGAGAAGGCAAGCAGATGCAGTATATATTTGTTAGCTATACTGACTATATCATCAGATAGTCTTATAGAGCAAGCTGCACTGTTGGACTCAGGTACTACAGTGAACAGTATCTTCTACAAACTGGCATTTCAATTAGACTGGGATCAACCAGAGATGCTTATGGAAGTTATTAAGATGTTGAACAGAGCTGAGACTGATTAATATAGTATCTACAACATTCAACTTACTATAACAGACTTTATGGGGATTATAAAGATGGAAAAATGTACATTTGTGGTGATTAATATAGTTAATATAAATATAGTTCTAGGCATGCTGTGGTTAGAAGATTTCAACCTGGATATAGACTGGAAGAACAAGATATAGTATTACTGACTCTTAGAGAAAACAGTAAAACTTCTAAATACAGATAGATTTTTCTGAGCAGTGTATATCAAGAACAAACTCTCTTATATTATTTTTACATCAGATAATAATCAAGTTCTGACAGAAATACCTGAGTGGTTGAGAGACTATAAAGATATTTTCTCAGAAAAAAAAGCAGCAGAGTTGTCAGAATTAATAAAGATCAGTTATCTGATTATTCTTAAAAATAATCACAAGCTCTTATACATACTAATCTATAGACTATCACTCAAGCAGATAGAGATTCTACAAGAGTACATCAAGAATAAGTTATACAAGAGTTGGATATATTTATTATAAAGTCCAGCAGGGGCTCCAGTGTTGTTTATACTCAAAGCTGATAGAGAACTCAGACTCTGTGTTAATTATCATGGTCTTAATGCAATCACAGTAAAGGATCATTATCTCTTGTCATTGATAGACAAGATGTTAAGCCAGTTGATAGGAGCACACTACTTTTTCAAGATAGATCTACATGATGCCTACCACCAGATTAGAATCAAAAAAGAAGATAAATGGAAGATCACATTTTATATAAAGTTTGGGAGTTTTGAGTATCTTGTTATGTCTTTCAGATTATTAAACACATCAGTAATCTTCCAGTTCTATATCAATAGAGTGCTGGCAGGTCTGGTTGACATATACTGTATAGTTTATCTAGATGATATTCTTATTTTCTCAGTCTCAGAGAGAGAGTACAAGAAACATGTTAGACTAGTTATGAAGTATCTAAGAGAATATCAGTTATTTGTAAAGCTTGCTAAGTGTGCTTTCAAAAGATAAATAATCTTATATCTCAGATATATCATTAATAACAAAGATATTAAGATGGACTCAAAGCAGGTACAGATAATTACAGAGTGGCTCTTGCTATAAAGTTTCCATAATATTCAGATATTTCTGAGTTTTGCAAACTTCTATCAGAGATTTATACAAAAGTACTTAGTTATTATAATATTATTGACAGATCTCTTGAAGAGCAGTGAAAAGAAAAGAAAGAAAGAATCTTTTCTTCTAATACTCACTATTAGAAAAGTATTTTACAAGTTGCAGATGATCTTCTTCAGAGAGTCTGTCATCCAGCACTATAATTCAGAATATAGAATATATCTGGAGATAGATACTTTAGAACATACTGCAGGTACAATATTGCTATAGCTGTTTAAAGATGAGTGATATTCAGTTATCTACTGGTTATTTAAGTTTGATCAGATCCAACAAGTCTATAGCACATCAGATAAGAAGATATTAATCATTATTCAAGTATTTGTTTATTAGCAGCAGTACTTAGAAGAAATAAAATACTCTGTAGAGATTATTACAGATTATGCAAATCTTTATTTATTTATAAAGTTCACAAACAAGATGGCACAACAACAATATATAAGATAGATAGAGATTCTCAGAGCATATAACTTTGAGATTCTCTACTATTCTGGAAAGTATAACCTAGCCAACATATTATCACAAAGATCAGATTATATCAAACTAGAAGAAGACATTGGTCTGCTGACATATACACTCAAACAATATTATATAGATAATGTTTCAGAGTGGGATCTATTTAAAGAAACTTTCTTTAATAAAAAAGATATTCAAGTATGTGCTGCTTGTGCTGTTCAAAGCAGTGGGATAGAGATGGTGCAGGAGAGACCTGATAATATTAAGATAATTGAGTCAGTTCAAAAAGCACCAGCCAAAGATACTGAGGAGACTTAATAAAGAAATTACAGAAGATTCTGGATTCTCTATATACATATGAATACAGTAACAAAAAATGAAAAGATCTATAATAAATTAACTATAAGTGTATTGAATCTGTTGCTAGAAGTATAGAGAGATAATCTCTCTGTATAAGCAAGATTTATCAAGACAGAATCTCAGTAGTCAGAGTGAAAAATAAATAAACAAGATCTTTTAATAAAGAGTAGCAGAATCTATATTTCTAATAATCTGGCTCTAAGACAGAAATTACTACAAGTCCACCATAATAACTTATTTACAGATTACTTTAGTGTGGTGAAGATATTTGTCTTGCTTCAGCAAAAATACAATTAGTAATTAATAAGATAAGATGTTCAGATATACATATACAAATGCCAAACCTGCCAACAAGAAAAGACTCCAATACACAAACCATATGAGTTGCTTATATTATTACCAACATCCAGTGATCTCTGGTGTTCAATATTTATGAACTTTATAACAGATCTCTCTTCAAGTGAAGAGAAGAAAAACTCATACAATGCAGTCCTGATTGTTGTGAATTAATTTACAAAGCTTGCACATTTTCTTGTGTATAGAAAGAAGATTGATGTGCCAGAGATAGCAAATCTTCTGTTTAGAAGAGTATTTAAAGACTTTAGATTTCCA